TCAGGGACCTGATTCTCGGAATCGTAGTGGCTCATGATTGCAGTTATTCCCTTTCACGAGTTGAACACAAGATGGATAGACAAAAGAGAAGGGGAACCCGAGGACTGGAGAGTCTGGGGCACGCTTATATATCTGAGCCCCATCTCATCTGGGGTATTCCTGTTCCCACTCAACTACGTAAAAGAGTTTCGTTGGAACATTTGATCTGCTCTACCCCAAACTGACTCGCATCTCCGTTTATGGATCCCAGTGGATAACGTAAGAGATAGGGGAGTGAGTTCTTTGTCACGGGCGAGGCCCCATGGGGGCAGAATATGCTGAGCGGGCCGAGTTTGTAGCTTATCTCGAACGGGTCAACCATTGACTCTTTTTTTCACAGTTTCTGAGCCGAGAAATACCGTCCCTCGTCAAATTTTTCTGCAGAGTTTGTCCACACTTTTCCCCTTTTGTCAAAGTACACTAGACACAGTCAGGTTAGCGGTTCCGCTTCTCCAATTCAGCTCGCGGCTATTCTCGCTCCAACTCGCGACTCCAACTAAAGCTTCATAATCTCGAAGACAAGACCAGGACTGTTTGTTCCTGGGGTGAAATCTCGGGGCCCCGGGTGGCAAGGGATATTTTTTGTACGTAACAGAGAGAGGAGGAAACGTGGTTATGGTGTGATGGCAGTGTTGGGTGATTTTTCCCCAAGTTTTTGAGGAGGAGAGTGAAGTGCTCGGTGCGGAGTAGGCTCGGGTTACTCCAAGTTTTTGACGCCATATCCGCTGCTGCTGCTGCTTGCTTGGCTCGGCTTGACATGGGAGATTGTGCAGGCAGATTTCGGCACTTGACGCCGTCTCCACTTGAGGCTGCGGTCGGCCCGAGACTCATTCGCTGAGTCCAGTTCTTACGGCCGCAGAAGAGATCAGCATCATCATCATGATAATCAGTATCGCTACCAACAAGAATTACAGCATAATCTCTCTTCCTTGCTCAGCGAGTAAAGCTCAGTTCATGTTTATCTGACCATCCTTGAGTAAACCCATAAAAGCTATGAACACCCATCATCACCACATGTTTCCCATCGCCCTACCAGTGGAGTCATGCCTCAACGCACGCACTTCTAGACCCAACGGTGTTTGTACGTAAAAGAAACCACTTGATACATAATAACGTTGACCACATGTTTTCTTGGCGATTGTCAATGATAAACAGCGCCCCATGGGGAATATGGAGTTGGTCTCCATTGCGACACGTCGTGACGGCCAAGATCTTCAGATCACTACGGAGTCCTCTACCTGTCTTGGATCTTGATGAAGCTTGAATCGTGAACCTGAGAAGAAATAAAAATGTGGCTAGACCGCGTACAGGTTAAGCTTGTATTAGTTAGAAGTGAACTAAAATGATCGCCCCTTAAACCCAGGTTTATTGCCTCACCAGACCGAACGACCTACCCAACACAGAAAAGTCTGCTCCCTCCTTAAGAAAAAATGTCCCGTATTCTCCGTCGCATCATGTCGGTCTTACCGAGCCTGCAACCTCGGGTCCGCAGCCACACATGTCGAGTTTTTCCTTCCTCCCCCCTTCCAGAAATTTTCTCAAGCCGCGCTAGTTGGTCTTCTAGAACAACTTTGCTTTTGTCATTGGTTCGGGAAATGCCCGCCGTCGTGGCAGGGCGCGCCACATGCAAGGGCGCGGTTTGATGATGTTGTCGGACGTGATGTGACGTGACTTGACGCTACCTTAGAGAAGAGACACGTGTAATTGATCAGCAGTGAATGTTTCTGTTCTGTTGTTGTTCACGTGGCTGTTGGTTGCATTCGTGATTGAGACTGAGTTCTGCTTGGAGAAGGATCGGCAAAGCTCATTTCTCTTGGAATGCTAAGCTTTGAACACCGAGCAACACGAAGGATCAGAACGGATTAACAGAGATAGACGCCATGTTAAAGTAGGAAATTACCCATCTAATCGCATGCCCAGACCATAAGGCTGATCCAGCTCTTGGCCGCTCTCAATCAGGCAATTACCCATCTTGTCCATTCGTATACAGCGCAAAGGCCAACACTTGCCATTATCTGGAGTGATAAATCCCTCGAAGAATTGGTAATCAGATAAATGAATCCCAGGATCTAGACTCTTGTTGGTAGTTTTTACGTCCACGTTGATAGATATGCTAACAAAATGGGCCGATTTCTCTTCTCCACTCACGTCCGCGACCCAGAAATGTCGACGCTCCTTTCTTCTCCATGAGAGACAAGGATATGGGCGTTTGTTATCAATCGTCTAGAATCTGACCTGAAACAGTGCTATCTGTGGTTATTTCCGATTGCAGTGGCATGCCAGACTGGTTGCTTCACCAGCTGTCAGGCAAGCGTGGCTCGGGCATGTCAACTTTCGGTGCGAATGAGCATGGAAGGATTGCAGTGGGTGTCACGCGATATTATCGCGTTGCCCACCTCGTTTCAGCTGACAGGCTGGTGAGATGCACGTTGTGAACTTGGTGCATGGCGATGCTTCTTCAGGGTCGTGGATTGGTGGTGTTCTCGGGTATCTCGGACCCCGTACCAAAGACTGGAAAAGGGTAGAGAATTATGGAGATTGGAAATGAGTGATTCGGGTCTATTGATGGCCCGTGATGACAATATCGATCAACGAGGGCGACGTGATGTTTCAGAATGGCTTTCCTACCCTACGCCTGCATTGTGAATACGATCCTGGAGTCTGTCACCGTCATGTTGGCGGTTTGCGTGCCGTGCAGGAATTTGTATAGAAACTGATCGAAAGGCGAGAAAATTGAATGTCACGCGTAATGAATCAACGGTCCTTAGCAAAATCGGGGATCACTATGACGTCAAGTCAGTTCAAGCTTAACCTTGCTCTTGGGCATCTTGAACCGCGTGACAATCCAACAACAACCTCAAGATTAACGCTCAAAGGCTTCTTAACATAGAGGAATCTACAAAATGAGTGATCTCAAGAAACCAGAAGCAAAGCCTGTGCCAAAAGGCCATCGATGGATCCTCTTCGTCTCAGGCCCGACAGCATCCGGCAAGACATCAGTCGCCAAGTTCATAGCAGAGAAGCTCAACCTCAAATTCGTCGAAGGCGATGATGTATGTGCTCTCCCATTTTCTCTACAAAATCACTAACAATCTCACAGTTTCACCCAAAAACCAACATCGAGAAAATGAGCCACGGCCAACCCCTCACAGACCAGGACCGCTACGGCTGGCTGCAAGCTCTCCACGAACACGCCACGCACCATCCCATCGGTCCAGGGACAGAACATCTCGTCGTTACCTGCTCAGCACTCAAGCGCCAATATCGCGACATGCTACGTGAAGGATCCGATAAGGCCGGTGACTTGCGTGTTCATTTCCTACATCTTGATGCGCCGGAGGAAGTGCTCACGAAGCGTGCTGCTGCGAGGAAGGGACATTTTGCGGGACCTGCGCTAGTGCATAGCCAGTTTGAGGTTCTGGAGAGGCCGACGGAGGATGAGAAGGATGTTCTGATTGTAAGTGTAGATCAGTCTGTCGAGGATGTTCAGAGGGAGGCGTTGGGGAGGGTGAAGGAGCTGTTGGATGATGATCCTGAGTGATCGGACGGAGACCTTCTGAAGACATGTTCGGTTGTAACTAGCAACACGAAATCTCAACAGTACAATTTGGGTTTACTTATGGGTTTGGGAGTCTTGGGCTTTGTATTTTCAAACTCTTCCGGGGGCCTCAATATCTATAATACTGCTGCACAAGAGCATATGGACCGCCACGTTAAATATATTCATAGATCGCATTGCATCAATAAGGTCGCACTCAGCTTTCGGACTCACTGTCAATTAGACGCATAATGGTAACATTCTATCAAAACTCAAACTAATGTCAAATCCCTATAATGGGGTTCAACCAACATCACAGCAACAACTCACCTCCATTTCCCCCGTCACTACCCCTAGGCAGTAACCAAGACAGATACTTTATTATATATTAAAAAAACTATATTCTACCTTAATATCATACCGCGCTAAGTCCATCCATCGCTGTGCGCCAGAAACAAAGGGTGGATATATCGCACCGCGATATGATATGGAGGCGGATTGAAGTTTGGCAAAAATTTACATACAACAGCGGGGATTCGCTGGTCGTCACCGACCCAACTACTAATCCGCCGGTTAGTGGCTTGACTATGGGAGAGCAGACGGGGTTTCTTTCATAGTCGAGCTAGGTCTTGGCAAAAAATACCAGAAATTTGCCGATATTACGCCGGTTTGACGCGTGCACGTGATGATACGATCTTGACTGCTCCGAAAACCGGCTTGCAGATCTTGTTCCTCGCCGTTTGCCGTGGAACCGTTATCGACCCCACCGACCGTTAACGACCGTTATGACGAAGAATGCACCGTAAAGAAGTGTGTCCACCGCCTCTACTTCCACGCCCCTCCATGTTGATCAGTTCTTATTCCAGACAGCAGCTAAGAGTCCTGGCACCAACACTAACTACGAAATCTAAGCGGTGAGATTTAAGTGCGGTTAAATTTAACAATTAATTGGACAATGGAGCTGCTCTTAGATTTCGCTCCTGACTTGTCGCTCGCCTTACTTTATTTATTGGCTGGGATGGCTTGTGAACTTGGCGTCCTTCACGCATGCAGACCAACAAGTCAATCACTGTCCACGGTCGACTGTCGACTTGGGAACACATAGCCCACACAACCTCGCAAGTATCAATGGTGCTATTTGGGAGCCACATGCACCCATCCCTCTGATCCTCCCGCCTGAAGCAGAGCCTGTTCTGCGGCTGAGTTCTCGAGATACTCAGCTAACCAGGTAAGATAAGGTGTACCTGTAGTGCAATTAATTGTGTATACAGAGAGAAATACTCGGTAATATTGCAGTCAGTTGCATGAGCCACAGGCAAGAATCAGCAAGACTATTAAGGTAAAAGCTTGGTTGTTGTGCTAATAATTGTGTTCGACCTCATAGTTCCGCCTGATCTTCCGAATCTAGGACTTTTCTCTGGCGTCATGCGGCGGATTCAACGACCGATTGATCCCCTCTCCCGTGTGTAAGTACGTAGTATTCTGCCACGGCCTGCAACAGGACCATGCCAGTCACAAGCGACCTGATATGCAGACCACTTGCACATTCATCACAGGAGTCCGAAGACTGGCCCAACACTCTAGGCAGCAGCATCGATGCGAAGTTGTATTGACGAGCGCAGCCGGATATTTGACTATATATAGCACGACGAGGTCCATTCATACGACAGTCTATCAAGATCGATAGCGCGAAAGGAACGGAAAGCAAACAAACAAACAGCCGGACCTTTGACTCCCCTCTACAGTCTCGTCGAACCCCGCTCTTCAGTCTCTTCGATCGCCTCTCTTCAATCTCGGCGGTCTCCCCTGTTCAGTCTCGTCGGCCCTCTCTCTGATCACGTCGATCCCCTCTCGTCGATCTCGTCGGTTCCCTTGTCGACCGTCTCGTCGTCCTACCCCTCGACTTCATCAACAACCATAATGGCAGACGCCGGAGGTGGCAACAGTGGACACAATAGCTATGACGGCGTCGTCCAGGAGGCATCCTTTGGTCGACAAAGCAACGCCGTAGTAATCTCTTCAGGCGATGCAGCAAAGAAGAGAAGAGAAGATTTGAAGAAAGCTCGTGAGGAGCGAGACAGGAAGGAGGCAGAGAAGGAGGCAGAGAAGGCGAAGGAGGCAAAGTGATACAGGATGAATCTACAGTTCGGACACTTGTATTACAAGATCTAGGCCCTATTTGAATGCATCACACAGTTCCTCCTTATAGACTTTGAGCTCGTTCTTCTTCTTGTTGACCATCGTCTCGGAGTCTTGGCACCAGAACTTCGACAGCGTCATTCTAGCATCGGGGCCCAAGTGCGCATCGAACTGGGGATAAATTTGATCAAACATAAGCCAGGGCATAGCGTCCACGGACTTTAAACAATGCCAAAACCAAAAAGCCTTTGAGTTCCACGTGTCTTGCATGACCCTTGAAAAAGGAGTGTTTGAATCTGCCTTTGCTTCCTCCTCCCCGAACACGCGCATAAACTGCTGCCGAGCCTCGTCGAATTCCTCAAAATAGTCTTCGTCCTCATCTTTGTCCTCATCTTTTTTGTGCGCTACCTCATCGATCTTGCGATTAGTTACCCAGTAGGGCACGGCCAACATCTCCACGGGCAGTGCCGAGATCCATTCCAAGTCCAGGAGACAAGTAACATTCCAGTCGTCATCAACAAAAATATTACTTGCATGTAGATCGGTGAACTGTAAGGCAAATGGCCCGTTTCGAAACTCTTTCTTGAGGTATTTACAGGACAATCCTCGCAGCAGGGTCCTCATAGCCATACCTTCACGACAATTGTCCTCATCACCAGCGTTTCGTTGACTGATAAAATAGTTATCGTGGCATGAAATCATGTCCGAAGCGAAGGACTCTGTGCATGAGTATGTTTCCGTCCTCTCGATCGCTCTCCGTGCACCGTCGTTCTCGAAGATCATCATCGAGCATATCAATGGCCTGTTCGTGAGCCTGACGTGGCAATCATCATGAAACTGAAAAGACCCTATGCGTGGCTGAGGAACTCGGGCGAGGGAGAGCATCGCGCGTGCTATACCTCGGAACAGTCGTTCTCTGCGGTCCAAATCGTTGAATTGGCTAGGTAGGGAATTTGAGAGCATTTGCCCCACGTCGGGGCCGATATATTCGAGCAGCATGTATGCCGTGGGCAGATGGTGTCGCGACGGGTGAAGGGTATAGCAGGATGGCATGTCGTGATGCAAAAGACCGTTGAGACGACGATGAAATTTGCGGAAAAGGCGTATGTACCAAGGGCGACAGCTCTCATGGGAATACTGCATTGACAGTCAGATAGGCAGCGCACGCGCAGTTCAAGGTGAGCAAACGTACATGGCGGTGATCGGTGAGGCCAAAACCGTAGAGGTAGGGAATGCGGATATCTGTACAATGCTGTTGCATCCAGACATAAGTTCCGACTTCGCATCTCAACTTCTCATCAATGGTGCCTGGGTATTGTGCCTCGGCAAGCTTGTATGGTAAACAGCAGCGCAACATCAAATGGCGAGTAACGATACCCGATACTGTTGTAATAGGGATGCAAACATTGAAGCTCCCCTGGATCCATAGCTCATGGGGCCAGACTTCGCATTTCGCATCGTCGCCTAAGTTCAGATGGTGCCTGACGAGAGAGAGAATCGTGTCTGTTTGTTCTTCAAGATTCTTGTAGAGTTCTTTGCGACGTTCGGCAAATCTCAGCTTATTAATGATATCATCTTCTCGGCACTGCGCCTCTGAGTAGTTGATGAAGGTGTCATCGTCGAGCTTGAGATGACCTGGTGGGCTCATGATGGGCGTTTTGGAGATGAAATTGTTGACATTTAGATACCCCTGAATCAAGCATGACACCCTAGCAATGAGCGGTCAGTACTGGCAGAATCTCGCCGTTTGTAGCCGCGGTGACATCCGGCTGACTCATGACGTAGCACTTGCCAAGCCCAGTAGCGGCAGCACTAACTTGCGGCTTAAATCTCCGAGATCCCCATTCGACCTCAAAGCCAACGACATGTTCGCTTACCAATGGGGATTGACCGACCAGGAATTGCTTGTATAAAGCAGGATCCGATTAAATTTCTAGCCTTACTCAGAATGAAATAAAAGTATGTTGGTTGGCGGAAAAAGGGATTTGGAAAGATGGAATCTTAATATTAGCTAATGGAAGTTATAATGGTAATTTTACGTCACGTCGCAACACCAGTCATCAATGGGGGTAGAAGCATCATAGATGGCCTATTTATGTGAGTGAAATATAGACTCGCATGGAGGCCACTAACTAGTAAAGTCCCCTATTTCCAAATGATGAATGCTAGATCCGTGGACTGGCTAGAAATGACCATCCTGGGTTCAAACCAAGAGATTTAGATCTGAGAGAGCGCGAG